AGGGCTCGCTTCTTTGCACAGCGGCTGATCACAATGCAAGGAACAAGTCGAGATTCGAATAAAGGTGCATCGTTTTAGACCGCACCCCATGCCGGGAACCTCCGCTCCAAACAATGGCCGTTTTACATCCGGCATCATCCGGCCATGGTTTCAGCCGAATTTCAAAGGCGCTTGCGAAAAGCGCCGTGGTAGAGGATTTCAGCCGTCGGACGGGAAAAGGCGCACTTTACCAGTCTCTGGCTACTATTTTGGCCAGCAAAAGCTTCTAGGTATTGAGCAGTACGGTATCACGCTCCACCCAACCTCTTGCAGCAAACAATATAATCTTCCTTGCAGCGTGTGTTCTGTCCCAGTCGGGCTGTTGGGGTCAAGGAACATCTCGTCCCCGCCTCTCTTTGTCAACTTTCCGCACCACAGGGGACGGTGCTGAAGTTGGGCTGGCCGTCGCGGTCCTCGGCAACACCAACAGCCAGCACCACCGGAATCAAGCCCAGCAGTCCGGGCTGACTCTATGGCAAATACCCAGCGGAAACCCCTCATCATTTCCGCATGAAGGGATCTCGATCTTCTACTATGGCAAGAACTGGATGTGCAGGGATGTATAAACCATCACAGTTCATCAACGACACTCAGGCACACACACACACACAAACACAAAAACAACACTTGACGTGCACGCCAACACGGGCACGACGCACCACACACAAAGACAAGGAGGCCCACACAAAAAGCAAATGAAACGGTGTTCCACTGTAATTTGTCCATTGGATGCACTTGAACAGCAATACTGAAGTGGAGCACCACACACAGGCTTTGAGGATTGAATGTACAGGTCTGTAAGTTAAGCCTTATCCATGCATGCTTCGGATATCATGTTCAAGGCCTCCTTTGGACTCACCTTTAAAGGCAACCAGATTGCGGTGGCTAAACTGCGACTAAACAAAACAAACTTTGACTCGTGGTATCTTCACCCAAGGCCCCCATTTCGGAGGTTCCTAAGCCCCAGAAGCAACGCGGCCGCCGGCTCGCCAAGGCTTGGGCGTCGGCTCCGAGAGCTCGCGCCGGCGCTGGAGGCGCTCAATGGAGGCGCGCTGAGCGGCGGCAGACTGGCGAGCGCCGGGGTGGCTTTTTGGGTTTATTGCCGGCTTCTTGTTGTAATGTTCTACACTGCTACGTTTTGTTGCAGTGGCCTTGTGATTGCATTGGCTGAGGCAAGTTGAGGCTAGCCAGTCTTGATGGCAAACATGGTCCAAAGTATGGGTCTCTACAGGTCTTGCCGTCTGCAACTATGTTCGTTGGCCTGGGAGAGGGTCCGAGCCCATATTACATTCAGCACGATAGAGCCTTTGCCAGTGCGGAGTAGTTGTCCCTATGTTGGATACCGCTGTGTCAAGGACACCAAGCTAGAGCTTGCAAGGCCAGGCTTTCAGGATTGATTCATTACCTGGTTTAGCTTTGAATTCTAGCGGGCTTTGTCTAGCTTCGTATATGGTTCCGCTGTGCCGTACCGCTTGATCCACCTGATCATTGGACTTCAAGGAGTGTCAAATGACATATCCACATGGCCTGGCTAAGTTGTGGGTTCTTGGCCTTTTTAACGTTCGGTTAGTTTCATGGGCAAAAGAGGGCAGGCCGAAGGGTTGCCATGTCAAAGGATCAGGTCCCCAGTCAACAGCAAGTGCAGCAACGCTGCACCGGGAGGAACTATAAGTCAAAACGGGTACAGGCCCACTGCCTTTTATTGGAAAGGACAACCAAGGCATGTCAACGGGCAAAACGTGGACCCCTCCAGTCTCGCCCGATGCCTGGCTTTTCACCGGCTGGATATCAGGGCGCCGCAGCGGCGCAAACTGGCGAATCGAGTTGTTTTCCCCGATGGACGGAGAATCCCCAGCCCTGGGCAATGGGCCAATGCCAAGAGCAAACCCTGGGGCCATCATTTGCAAAGGTTCTACGCTCCATCCAATGATACATTTACATTTACAGCTGTTGGCATGCACCGGCAATTCTTTGAGTGCACCAAGTCCTTGTCGCTCCACTCTGCTACAAGCAATCCAAACTGAAGCATTCCAATCCGAGGGCCGCAAGGTCCGTTGGTCTAGGGCAAACTCCGAGAACCGGGAGGTTGAGCAGGCGGGACGGATCTCTTGGGGCCGCCTGACCCTCACAGTTCCACTCCCCGAGGACCATCTGCCCGCAGCCGCAGGCGCAGGGTCTGAACCGCGGCCTAGGCCCAGGGCTCGGTTCTTCATGTTGCCTTCGAAGCCTTGAGGATCTGGAGACAAGTCCCTGGCCATTGATGGGAGAGACCATAAGGGCCTTGGCTCCATGTTCTCTTTGGCCTCCGCTTGGCTTGCAAACGATGGCATGGGCCATGGGTAGAAAAGCGGGGATCCCTCCAAAATGGCAACTGTCCCATGCAGGTTTCCAAATTCAAGTCGTCAATTTGGCACAGGGCCACTTCTCGCAGGGTGTGTCGTGATACGCATCTTCATGTCAATTATTCAGAGAGAGGGAGAGAGAAAGAAACAAGGCTTCATGCTGATTCCTCTTTTTGTCACATCCTTTAGCCGTGTGAGCCGAACCAAACTGAATGGCCACCTGCTACCAAACAATTATCCCGCCGGTGAGGCCAAAGCACAGCCCCCCTGCGGAGCCGCCACATTTTGAAAGCTCAACGTGAATTTTGGAAACCGGGGGCCCGCGATTGTCGTGTCGCTGGGATTCTGTGCACTTGTTTGGTTCTTGCATGCAATTTGTAGGGCTTAAACCGCAGCATGCCGCGGGCATGTGGGCTGACCTGACCAGTTCCCGACGTTTGCCGCAAACAGCAGATCCACGGTGGAAGAGGTCGCCCAAGGACTTGAAAGACAAACATGTCCATAAATGATGCTTCAGGCAACCCAAGGCTCTTCGCAGCGCTCCCATCAAAAGCTTACAACACGTCTACAAGCTGAATTGCGTCACTTGCCCCCCCACCCCACCCCGAAAGCATCGAGATCCTGGCTGAGGCTCTTCTTCCTTGGCAGGCGTGGCGGAGGACTCAAGACTTGGGCGTGGCAGTAAGCTCGGGCAAACTCAACAACGCATACTGCTCAGGTTTGTCATGAGGAGCAAAGTAGGGAATGCCTGCAAGCAAAACAAGTGAGGAGTAGACAATGCCGTGTGTAGAGGAAGCCAAATCGATCAGCACTATAGACTTTCTTCATATACCCATCAGAAGTTGCATTGGCAAGCGTGGTGGAAAAGGATCAAACAAATCGAGACGTGACATGCCCATGTTCAAATCGGAAGTTGAAGGGCTGAAGTATTGCGGTCGCTGCTGCAGATTCGCGAACGGTGGAAAGGCTGTTCTGTTCAGAACAGAATTTAGGCCATTTCCGGTCAAAACCGGCATCCACGATCGAAGGGCTGACATTGAGAGGCTAGGCTTGTGATAGCTCCTGTCCCTTGCCGAAATCAGGATCCTAACATGATGGCAATCACAAGCGTGGCCTGGGAAACCATTGTGGACTCTTTCCCAAACAGCAGTTTTGACGACAATTGACCGTGCCCTCCACTACAAACCCTATGAAAACGTTGTTTTTTACGGCCTAGTTGAACAGAGACCCTGGTAGAACAAGAAAATTACCCTTTTCAGGGTTGACTCAGGGAAGTCACAAATACAAGGGATTTCAAGGCTGGAATTCAACAACTTTCGGAAATGTCCGGCTCTCGGGCCAGTCCCGTGCTTTGCTGAGACGTTGCAACATCCAAGCAGCAGAAGCAATTCATCATGTCGTGCTGAACTGATCCAATCGAAAACAAGGATGTGTGTACTAAATCAGCAATGTTGCACATGCGAACATCTGTCTGTTTGCCCAATCTTAGTCGATCTTGGTACGTGCAAATCAAGAGGCACGCGGTGGGCAACGTTCCTTTCAGGCGAAGCAGCCCTCCCAAACTGTTGACTAGACGTCGGAATCTGGCTTCATGCCGCGGAAGGAAGGAGCTGGCGTAGAATCCAGCCAGAAGGATGTTCGTAACAACCAACGAGGCTCAAACCTGCGGATTTATACAATAAAGTGAGCTACACATGCTGAACGGATTTGACCACTGCCTGACTCAACAAAGGTTGTCCACCTCATCGCATCCCTGCTGAGCCCTGATCCTGCGGCTGGATGCTCTTTGCCCGAAGGTCCATTGCCAGCTCCTGCAAAACTCCGGGCGCTTCCTTGGGGGACCACGCAATCGTAAATCAAGGGCCCGAGACGTGTCCCAATGAAAGCATTGCCAAACTGGTTGCTTTGGATGTCAGACAAGATATGGACAGGGCCGAAAACATAAGCCCATGCCTAAATCTCATGCACGGGTCCAACTAGGTTTGGAGCAGCAAGGGACGGGGCCATGGGGTTTGGACTGGGATTTGGCGATCCCGCCATGGTTACATTGAGCCTCTTAATCCTCTTGGCCGTTAGACCTGAATCCTTCAAGTGGACTCGACCTGGCGCGAACATCAGGCCTGGGCGGGATGCTGCTCATCATCATGCAGTGGTATGGTTGATTGATGCACAAGTAGGCGTTCCGCAAGTTCGGTAAAGTCCATTATCAAGTAGGTAAAGCCAGCAACTCATGCCTTTTCTGCTCTGACTCAGAGCGCGAGAGAGGCAGAGAGAGCGACAAAGAGAGAGCCAGACAGAGAGGGAGAGAGAGAGATAAAGAGAGACGGAGACGCTTTGGTCCCCAGGTGCCGATGGAAGCGAAAGCAAACTAATTGAAGAATACAAGTTGAATTTCAAGAGAAGCTGGATTGTCTGCAGCAACAATATGAAGTCAGTGCATGAAGTGTTGAAGTTGTTGTGCTTTTGAACCGGCTTTCCATCACACCGCAATTGAATGCAAGCCACATCTGAAGAAGCTGGCAGTCCAGCCGTGTGTGGTGATTCTAAGGCGCTTTGGCCTCTTACCCAAGCACGAGAGGCAAATCATTACATATCAAAAGGTCGCTTGGTAGATCTCGCTCACCACAAGTCCCCGAACATCTTGGGCAAGTCCATGCAGCGGAACATGCCTGAGCATGAGCCGAGAAGCGCATGTGGCTGACGTGTGTCTTTCGATTCAGCCCCAGTGCCAAATCAAATTATGCATCTCCTTTGTTCCGGTAGAATGACCATATAGGTCTGAACGCGTTTGTGCGGTCTGCACTTATTAGGTAAAATGTGCTCATCTATGGCACTGTCGCAGAGTTTGCTACACAGATCCAATACCCTCTGATCCTGACCCCCATCTGCCTTGCAAACGTCACTGGCACACCTATCCGTATTTCAGCTTGTGCCACATTCTGCAACATGCTTCGGATACTTGCCCAATGGAGCGAACCCAAAGCCATGCAAGCTTAAAACTCAAAAGCTGTAGAAGGATCGTCGCCCTGCAAAACAGCACAACCCCAGCTCTGGTCCCCAGGCCTTACTAATTGTGGACAGAAATACTACAGTATTTCTCCAACGCAAGGAGAGCAGTGTCCAATGGACGGGCCTGGTCATCCTCCCAATGATACGTAGACTCTTGGATACAAAGGCGACAAGCACAGCCAACCTTGACGAATGCAACCGTGTCCACACCGTGTCCACCTTCATACCTTCGGCACCAAAACGCCGTCCGCCCGCAAAACCGCTGGCCGCGCGCGCCTTCGTGGCCGACGCTGTTAGGGTGCCCAGGGTCGCGGGAGGCGTTGGGGAGCCAGTGGCCCTTCAGGTCTGCCCCGGACTCCTGCAAGAAGTCCACGAAGTAGTCCACCTGACTAAGATGGACCGAAAAGCAAGCCAACGGCCCTACGTGCATATTTTCTGCCCAGGCCGGGCAGGTGCAAGATTGGTCGGGGTGAGCAGACAAAGTTGCTTAAGTCCAATGTCTTGTGCAGAATTGCAACACTGCAGCATCAGTTCAAGCGTTGCAAAAGCAGCAGGGAAAAGCAACATGGCAGCACAAGAAAAATAACATAACAATGTACCAATATGAGCACAGCAAGCAAAGTAATTAGCAACAGTCACACAAACAGTCGCCCCAGCCCCAGCAGCAGCAGCGGCAGCGGCAGCAGCAGCAGCGGGGGCAACAGTACCAGCTGAAGCGCAATGGCTTCGCAAAACTACCCTTCACCGAAATGCTTGTTGTCGCAGGCATGTGTCTTTTTGCAGGGGTCAAAACTGCTATGCTCAACCCTAACATTGCAGCACTTAGTAGGACCCCCCCCCCGTGTTGACGAACGCCATCTGCAAAGATTGATCATTCGTCCGCCCGATGGCCTCCTCCCACTGCGACATCTGCTGCCGGACATGATCCACCACGCCCATGTGCTGCCTGCCCAAGCATCGGTTCTGCCCCGATCGGTACATGTACTGCACCGGTTTGTCCTAATCGGTAGATGCCAACAAACCTGAAACCAAGGCAGCATGAACAAGCTGGTGTCTCCATGCCGTGGCACCCTGCATCCATCATTCACATAATGTTCATGATCGGGCACGCAAAACAAAACCTGAAGCAAAAGGACGGCTTTGCATCTTGGGCACGCGGTGTAGAGGTCGTTGGCATACGGCCCCCCCAAGACCAGGCGAGCAGATGGTGACAATCGCAGCCGTAATGCTCGGACAGACATCCTGCGCTTTATGCGAGTGAGAAGCGGATGCAGCAACTTCTACGAACACCTGCTTAGCTTTGCGTCTGGTCTTTCCAAGCATAACATGTTGTGTTGCATAGACCCTCGTCCATCTGCTGGCAACGTTAGCATTCAGGTGCCCAAGTTGCCCAAGCTAAAGTCAAATCAAGTTCAAATCGATACAGCATCGCCACATCGCCAATTGTGAGTATTGCCGCATATGTTCGTGCCTCCCTGATGTTGACCCTCCCCTAGGAAACATGGGAGGGTCTCATCGAGCCTGCTCCCAAGAGTCTCTCGTTACAAAGCAGAAATTCCTGGATCCTGCTGGGGAGCGGAAGCTCCTCCTTTCGGCAGCTTTGCACTGGATCCCAAATGGATGACTGCTCGGCGTCCTGGTTTGCGTTAGAAAGCGCCGACCGATCTCTCGAAGATGTTCTTCAGACTCGGTGAAGCAGAAGCCCTCGTTGCCCAGGGACAGGCTGAGAATGACCACACCTAAGTCAAAGGCAAGCGAGGGGTGGGGGGCATGGCTGATCGCTTTGACGACGCCAAATGCGTGATCTGTTTTTGGACAAAATCGGGAAACAGTTCAACCATTTATCCAGATAAAAATGACAATTCTCGATTCTGCCTCAGCTTGGCCAGGTCATCACCCGTTGAGTGCAAGGGACCGCCTACTCAAGCCTGAAGCATGCGAAGTGAACCTGTGGTGTCTGCAAGATGCCTGCTGCTTGGTGCAATATGGCCGTGGCACAAAAAGCCGGTGCTAAAATGGAACACTGGGAAGTGGAAACATGGACCAAAACTTGTGTAAACCCTCCTGTTTGACTTTGAGCCACGCCCATAGGTAGTCAGCTGTCTCCACGTCACAACGCCCAAGGTGACGGCAGCAATACCGTCTTCCCGAGCAATCAGCCGGACAAGTGTCAGCACGCATGTTCATCGGGCTTGCCCCAAGCTTTAGCAAATCAGTCAAACAAATCAACAGCAAATCTAACATGAGAAGCCAAAATCTGCATGATCCCTGACCTCTCAATAACAGTCGGCTTCTGTCTCCTGCCTGTTTCAAGCTTTACACTCATTGTCTGCTTTGCAAAGCATCTCCTGGCTCCAAAATACATTTATCATCCAGCTCTGCATCAGAACACAAGCTGCACGACATTGTCAATCTTTACGAATGGGCGCTATGTGTTAGCAGCGTCATCTTACAAGCTAACTAAACGGTAGTCAGTCTGAGAGGCTCAACAAGTTGCCCCCGCCCGAAGAATGGCCCCAATGCATGCGATGACATTACAGACATAAACATGGCTCATAGTTTTGGTCATCACAAGTTGAGCAAGCGCAGTCAGAGCAAGGGGCCACACTACAGAATCATCAGCAAATGCAATGCAAAGACGCTCTCATGTCTATGCATAGACAGTGTTGGTGGCTTGGTTGTGAAATAGATTATTGCTTTGGTTGTGTTTGCCTGGATCTTGGGTGAGGGGGGCGTCTGCACATCAACACAACACAACTTAGGGCTTCTGTCATCACTCCAAAGCACCAATCACTGATCCAACATGACAAAGTCAAATAGTCAATCAAATAGATAAGAATATCATCACAGCCAACATGGGCTAGCTGATGCAACAACATGCAAACAAACGCATGTGACAGGGAATTTTGGCAGTTTTAGGCGAATTTAGTCTTTTGGTGCTGCGAACGGCTAGGCGCCCACGCTAAATGGACGCCACTGCTCCTCTGTGGTCTTGGTGGTGATAAGGTCGTACCAAAGCTGCGAACTCAGCGGCCGGGGGATACTCCATTAACATGAAACCCGGAAAGGGTGTCCCACAAGAAGACTTTGCCTAAGCGGCATTTGCCTAAGCGGTCTCTCCGCAGGCAAGTAAGTGATACTTTATGAGGCGCGGAGGAACTTGCAAAACGATCGTTCGTTAGATAGCCCATGTCGCACAAACCCCTGCAGGCACCAGGGATGACTGTGCCTCCTCCACTATCTGTTCTGCTACCCAGTTGAAGGGATGATGCATTGTAAAGCCACAACAAGGATCATAAACTTCAGATTGACCAACCTAGATGGGTTGCCAAACATGGAACTTTGGCAAGGGCTAGTTGTATTGGATGCTCAAAGTGAGAAAGGCCAGCGATTGCCGATATTGCCAGCCAGTCTCTAAACTTGGCCTCCGTGCTTTGTCCACTCGACAGCTCGTATGGTGGTGTGCCAGCCTCCGGTCCAATCCAACACCATCCAACACTAGTCTGTGGGAATTGCCCCAAGCTCTTGCAACTTGGTTCGACAACTGGACGTTGGACATCTCCCTCCAAACCTTGCTGACCGATTTGTTTGGGGGAAGCCAGGAAATCATTCAAACATGTTTTCGCACGCAAGCCGCTGACTTGCAACAATCCCATGGCTATTTTAATCCAACAGGAATCAGAGTTCCCAAATCTAAAAAACAACTTAACATTCCATGCCAGGCGTCCCTACTCGCCTTTCCTGTATGCAACGAAAGCAGCGCTACGCAAGCGCTGCACAGCAAGAATGCCGTGAACATCTAGCGAAAGGTGTTGCAATGCAACCAATTGATCGCAATCAGAGCGGCGTTTGCTGTAGAAGGAACCTTCAAGCAAAACTCCTGACCTTGACCGATGGCCTATTGACGGCTTTAATCATTGGCACTTCACAATTTGTTTTGCCACAATTGGTGGGTTTATCAAAGTCAACAAATTGAATGTTGTGCAGGTTCTGCGTCTCTTTGCCGACACATCCGAATCCATATGTTCACGCAGCTCTGAATGTTGCGGGTTGTCCAACTCATGCCCCTCAAATTAAATGAATTTCATGCGCAGCATGACACCTGAAGAAAATTGCCCTCACCGTGAAACATGCAAGCAATCCACACCTCACCATGTTCGTATAGTGTTCACAATTTGTCTAGTTGATTGATGCCAGGGCGGACTTGCACCCCAAGGCAGTCATAAATTCAACACCATGCAAGCCGATTCTGCCAATCAGGTTCTAAACCGCTGGCAGTGTGTCATGTGTCATCCTCCTGCACGCTTTCAGAGTTGGAGTGCTCTCGAGGGCAACCATGTTTGTGCGGGAGAGGTTACCTTAGAGCTGGCAATCGGAGCTTTAGGGTCCCAGCCTTTCTCTTGCAGGGTCGAACTCAGGCGCTGTGGCCAGCCCAGGTTAGGCTCTGGTCCCGCCTTAGCTGAGAAGCTAACTTCAAAATGGCCGGGGGTTGCGTACGGGCACCATGCATATGCGACTTGGTGTCTCACATGTTCAGATACCTAACTTGGGCAACCAACATATGACAAGTCCAAAAGGTGTGGGGCAAACTTGTTTGTCTATCTCTCTTATCTCTCTCTCTCTCTCTGTCTCTTTATTTGTCTCTTTCTTTTCTTTTTCTTCTCTCTCTCCCTCTCTTTATCTTGCTCCATCTCTCTTGCGTTTCATGGTAGTTGGTATGTCTATCAAAACAGCGTGCATTGCCGCTATGATCATCCAGCAAGCTGTCTGGAAAGCTGAAAGCCGCTGGCCGAACTTTGCCATATGGCATAGTGAATGGGGTGAGTTGCGACCATGGCGTGCTTGTAAGTTTTTGTTCTCCCCCCTTTGCAAATAAACTGCAAGCCCCAATGCTTCCACCAGAAGAAACATGCCCATGCACAAGGGCGACACGCATACTGCCTTCAGATCCCTTTTACGACCCCTTGCGTCCGAAGTCGAAATTCGGAGCCCAACAGATCCAACTTCCCAACCTTCGCCGATCTCGACTCTGGGCTTCACACCTCCGCACCCTCGCCCTTGGCCACGGAGCTGCCAAGGATCAGCAAGTGGCGACCTGCCACTGAAATGGTCTGCCCAAACAGTACAAAGTCTAGGAACTCAGGAGCTCAGGGGAGTGACTTCCTATGCTTACTGTTTTTAGTGCCGCTGTCTCCTGTGAATCCAACTTTACTTGGATTCTTCTTGGCTTTGCGGTGGGCTGATGGATGGCTAGACAAGGGTCGCGAGATCTAGCTGTCAGAACGAATTGACGCCTGGATGTGCTTGAAGACCTTCAATTATAGAACAAGTGAGCACGACAGTTCCATTGCCAAGATGGATGATCTCCGCCAGTTCTCCCCGGAGCGGTTCGGCAACTTCACAAACTCAAGCAATCACTGAAACAAATCCGCTGTGCATAGCGCACTGATCATATTTCATTTCCGGCTGCGAATCAGTTGAAGACAGGGTCGTCGTTGATATCCCTGCTTTTGCCCCCGAGGGGAGCCCCTTGCCTGGAGGAAGATCCGCTTCTGCAGGCAAGCGCCACAGCCTGACAAGCCAGTGGCATCTCTCAAACGGGGAGAACCCAAGCAAATTCCAAGGACAACATCTCCAAACTGTAGAACAAAGGGCCATTGAAGAGAAGAAAACATCGGCAGAGTGGATAATTAGTTCTTGTGGTTGAAACTTAGAGAGTCCCCATGTCTATCCCCAATGGACAGACTAATCAAGCAATCCACCTAAAGAGCTGGAAGAGGAAGTACCGCCACAGCAGTTTGCCCCGCAGCGACGCCAGCGAGGAGCGCAGGAATCCCGACACTGGACCTGTGGGACGGGATGCAAAGTCTGACTGGGAGGAGAAAAAACCAAATGGCTCCATTGACGCAGGGGGTGTACCACACGTGCCAAAAAAGGCAAAGTGCTAAATGCTAGCACTTTACCCAATCCTCTCAGATACTCAATCAATGGAACCTTTGGATCGTCTCGCCCCAAACCGACAAAAGGCCCTCAAAGATCCGCGATGGGACTGCTCTAAAGCATGTCGACACCAAGAGCCCTATGTGCTTTTTGGTGTCCTGGTTGTCAACAAGGGAGGTCCATTTTCGGTGGCACGCCGCAACCCAGGCGCCAGGGCATGTACAGGCCAGGAACGGCACCAGGATGCCAGCCATGAGCTTGGAAGAGATCATGGCGACCGCTGGATCGACAAAAAGCTGTTGCGACAGCTTGTTATTCCAAACGCGATGCTTCAACCAGCCGTGTCTGTCTTGGCGCTTTCGGGCGAGTGGGCACAGAGTTGATGACCCAAGAGTTGATGGAAGAAATGGGATGCTACCTGCTCTTCGGACAAGGAGGGTCTGGACCGCGTTCATCTTAAAGGTGGTTGGAGCCCTTTTGAAGAGGCTGGGCTCTCCTCTATTTGATCCATTTGAAGCGGTGCCCTGATCCTCAGGTTGGTGTCTTGATGCAGGTCCTCACGGCTGCGTGTCTAGCTTGAGAAGCGAACGCGAAGGCAGGGCACATTCAATCCGCTTTTCCCTGCTAATCGCAGTGCTGCCGGTGCGAGACAGCTCTGATGACGGCAGGGACTTTGGGCTGTGTCTGTTCTTTTTTCACTGGCGCAAGGAACGTGACTTTTGAACGGGGTCTCACTCACACCAGCATCCTTCAGAAGATGGTCAAAATCCACAGACCCGAAGAGAGTCAGTGGCACCTGAAACACAAGAATACTTGTGTTGGTGCTGGCATCGAGCCCACTTGAAGGGTGCACAATCACGTCTTTCGAAAGCTGTCATCCAGTTCGTCTCACTTTTTGGATCCACGGAGGGTATGCAAGTGGGTGTGTCTCAAATAGGGGAGCCAACAGGTTTCCAAATGATTCCCCCTCAAACAAACTAAAAGGGGCGCGTCCTCCCGGAGCTGCTTGCTCAACCCAGGCAGCGCTTGAGGCCTTCTGCCGGTATTGCCTCAGGTCAATGGGAAGCGGGTGGTGTATTTCATAGCTGCGTACAGGAAAACCAAAGAATCCATTCCTGTTTTGGAGGTTGGTAGCCTTCTTTGGATTGATTAAAAAAGAAGCCAAGGGATTACAACCGATTTTTGGGAGTCCATAATCTTATGAATCATGAGCTACAAGCCGGCAAGGGACATGGGATCCCCCTACCACAAATAAACGCTTCTATTTCGTGAGGAGTTTGCGACTTGCAAGAAAGTCATTCGTCTGCTTTTGGTCTCGCATTGGCTTTTGCTTTCAAGACCTTACACAACACTAAGAAAACCTTTGACCTCACAACTCAACTGGGTTCCACAACACCAACGCTTCATCGCCCACCTACAGTGGTAAGCCGCCTGTCCAAGCCGCTAAAGCAACCCTGTCTGTGGTGCTACCCAAAAGTTCTCTGTGAAAATTCCCACAGAGAGGCGCAGTGGCCAAATGTGGAGGAGGAAAATAGGCAACAGCTAGTGCTGATTTTCTCATGCACGTAGACCAGACATGGATTGACACAAACTGACTCTGTTGCGTAGAATCGCGGAAGACATTTGGCTGCCGCACCCTTTTTCCTGCGCTGGCAACGCAAGGCCTCTTCTCAAATCATTGTTTAGCCTGGCGCCAGTCAATCAGCTGCTGTCGTGTGGACTGTTTTTGTGTCAACCTTGACTTTCTGCAAGGAAAGCGGTCCAAACGTCAAATTTGATTCAAACGGAGAGCCTGTGAAAAAGCTATAAACGTGATGTGAACAGTGGCAAGATTGCCAAGTGCCAACAGGTTCGATAAGTCCTCGCCTTGTTCTCGGTGATGAAACAACCCTCTCTCTCGTTACCCCAGTCTTAGGGCGAAAACTACAACACATTCCAATTGCAGGCTCACTCCCTAAAACGCGACTAAAGAGGGCCCCAGCAAGGTCAGCACGTCTACCCAGGCCCTTCGGAACACGCAGCATTGCACGTGTGTCTTGGACTCCTCCGTCGCTGTCGACGAAAAGCGGCTTGAGTCTAAAGTGAATCTAAAACGTCGCAAAGGCTCCGACTCAAAGCCACACTTCAGAATGACTTTGCTGAAGCTTGAGGTGGTGCTGCCTGAACACAAAGGGAGCCTCAAATAACTAACTTGTCGGCACAAACGCAAGTCAAACAGCACAATCTGAAGACATGCATAATCGCCCTGGCTTCGTTTGTTCACATTTCCAAAATCTTCAGCTAAAGGACCGCCTATCAGTCTCTGCCCTTTCCCAACCTCCGCGTCGGCTCCCTCTGTTGCCTGGCGCATGAGGGGCAAAGCAAGGTTTGCGACATGCGCTCAAGTCCCAGACTGCATTGGACCACTTCACACCAGCCACCAGCTCATTTTTCGGGTGGGTCTTTCGACCGGCTGGCCGGTGCAAGCGATTGGTGCTGCTTGATTGCACGTGCTTCCACAAAACACATCAACTCGCAAAGCCTTGCAACCCGACTGTTGGGTTCTTGGAAAGCAAGTGCTCCATCAATCAACCGGCAAAGTCGTCATGGATAGATGTGACTTAACCTAATTATGGCTCCAAAGTGGAGCATACCTGTTGCTACAGCACATGACCGAATTGCAAATGGTGTCAAGGTCACTTTGAGTTTGCCGAGCTAGGTTCAAGCCGGAGACCTGCAACTTGTTTGTGCGCACGCTGGGCACGGAAATATGACTCAACTCTTGGCCTATCAGCAATTGGTGCAGCAGAACACCGCGCAATGCCGGGCTCAACTCAAACGAAGCTTGGCTCCTCCGGCCCAACCGGGCAAAAGTGAGCTTTGGCATGCCTACACTACCCGGAATGCCTGGCCATTCGCACACTCCAGGGATCATTGATTGGCCATTCTCCAAGTCAGGTTGCTACAAAGTGGGAAAATGAAAAGGACACCAAAGTTGACTTTGATAAGTACTCATCACAACCAGTCCAGCTTGTGCAAAGGACCTTTCTCTGTGATGTCAAAGTGGACCATTCCCTTATGACCACTCTGTCACCTTAAAGGGAGTCCACTTAGTGTCACAGAACCACGGTTGGATATGTGTATCCACCGGCCCCCCCCCCAAAAAAAAAACAACAACAACAACAACCACAAAAAAACAACAACAAACAAATGGCGGTCTTCCTTTTGGCTTCCGTTTAAACAAACCTACAACAAGGGCACCGAGTCTCACAAAATACCTAACAGGACTTCCCCGTCCGCGCCTGGCCCGCCACTCTGGCCTCCACGGATTCGGCGTCTGGAGTGCCTGCGGTTGGGACTGCCCCTTAAAGCACAGGCAAAGGAACCGCAAACTCTGCTGGGTGAATTTCGAAACGTCAAACTGTCATGCGGAATTTCCGGAGAAAAACAAAAAAAGCACAGCATCATTGATATTGTAGCTTTCGATGAAATGACGTCGTGATCAGCTACAAAACCATGCCACCTGCATATCGAGGGCTCAAACTGAATAATCGTCTCAATAACGAGCATCAGGACAACACAACTAGTGAGAATGGCACCCATAATAACAACCTGTCATCTAGAGCTGCCTATAGCCACTGACAGAAAAATGAACGCAGTAAGCTACTCCTTGGCACCTTTGCCATGAAGCTGGACGTACTCTGAAACACGCCAGCAAAGTGAAAGCAAGAAAGCGCTGGCCAGGCATCTTTGCCTCGACTTGCCCCACCCAGCCTGTCTGGCAATGCACGCTACAGGCCCGGCCGCAGCACTGAGTATGTCCACCGCTGCACCGAGCGCCTCGCCTGTGCTGGTTCGCGAACAAGCTCGTCCAAAAGGTGACCAGGAAACACCACTGGTCTAGAAGCATGGAAAAGATGACATGATAGGATATACTAATCTAGTGGTAGTTCTTCCAATGCTGAATGGCAAGCTTGAGTTTTAAATATAGGTCCGAGGTACTTTAAGGGCAACAGCGTCCAAACGATCCCAAATCGCACATGATATGGTTGGCTACTCGAGTCACAAGTCCACAAGAAATGCGCAAACTGCGTCTGCAGCACGCATGATCTCCATGTAGTTTATCTCTGCTTGCCAATGGGATCCCATGATTATGTGTGGAGACTAGACACACCTAGAAGAGTGCTACAATGGAGGTGAGGTACGGTCTACAACAGAATCTACCCCTCCTCCATGTGCTAGCCTGAGGCACCATACAATGGCCACGCAAGTTGTCAGGTTGGCAGTGTTTCGCTTGCAATCCTGGTATGCTGGTCATGACCTGCTTTGAAGGCAGGCCAACATAAAACCAGGTCCTAAGCTTATGCTGATCCTTTGTGAAACTCAGCCCCTCTGCCACATACATCCGAAACCACTCCTGGTAATCAGTCACTCCACATCACTCCACACAGCCCTGCCAACTGGTCAAACTTCTAACTCGGCACCGCTATCCTCGCCTTCTTCTCATTAACTTTCAAGACGCTACAGTTGCACACATGTCAGTTTAACATTCAATCGAGGCAAAGACATTACTTACATAATGAGCGTGTTTGCAGTGTATGAGCATTTTCCCGTGGGTGTGGGTGTGAGTGGTGTGGTTAGAGTTCGACTATCAAACTAAGCCTGGCCGTTTGATTTCAGCATATTTCTGCAATCCTATGGAAAATGGACGATCAAGCGTCCCAACTCAGCCATATGAAGTTTCAATGCGCTCCTATTCCCTCGCCGTGTGTGTGTGTGTGGGTGTGTGTGTGTTAAAACAAGGCCCAAATGGTGGCTTTCTGGTTTCCCTCACTCAAAACCATCCCAAAAAGGAAAAACAACACACACACACAAACCAACACACACACACACACACACACACACACACACACACACACACACACACACACACACACACACACACACACACACACACACACACACACACACACGCACCGAAGTGATTTTGTTGTTGCACCTGTCTTCATGCCCAATCGAATCGCCAGCTGGGCCGCCCACCGTTCGGGCCCAGACTCCTCTGGTCCATCTCCTTGCCGATGCGGGTTGGCTTCGCTGAAAGAGGTAGATGCAGGAGACGGACCAGTTATCCGCAACAGGGTCTCAAGATCTTTGCCTTTTTTTCATGTTATTTCTATGTCTCTGATATCGCAAGGCAAAAGAGAGAGGGTACAACAACGGAGGTTCTAAATTGGATTGGTCCGAACACTTGCATCCTGTAGAAAATTGCCCGGAAGAGGGACGCTGTGGCGAACTTATGCAGAGTCCCTTGCAGAGGGACTCTAAATTCCAGTTGCAAGTATAACGGCAACCCCCCAGTCAAACCCGCCCGGGAGGGTCAATCCACAGAAAGTCCACAGCCTGGCTGAATTGGGACAATTCTCTGGCCAAGCAGCCTGAAAAAAGACTCCCAGGAAAAGATCCTTGATGGCTGAGGTTGCTCTCCACTCCTCTCCCCCGGCCTCCAGCAGGCTCAGCACCCGTTGCCAATGGCCTCCAGATGCCTGCGCCTGGATCAGCGTGCCTCGGGGTCATAGCCAAGACCTACACGCGAGCCGGAAAACCATGGCAGGAAACCAGCCTCAGCATTGCGTACACAAATAGATGAGTCTTAAGGACGTAAGGTGGCTGAACATCTCCCACGGCATGGAAATGCGCAAGGCGTGAAGAGGTTGCAGACCACACAGCGAACACTCCAGCCATAATATGAAGTAATTTGCACGTTGGTCCCAAAACGGGTTCCCAACACTAAAATAGACTCCTCCTAAATGGCACAGTCCAGCACAAAGTCCCTCCCAGCCGAGCCCCACGCCACAATGCAGAACGGCCCTAGAATGCCATGAAGCCGTCGTCCCGGACGTGACCAACCAACAAGGACGAAACCAAGAATCCAAGCACCAAACCCACCGAAAACCGAAAACGCCCTCCTTGAACGAAACCGCTGCCTTCCAATCTGACACGAGGTTCCACGATTAAGTTCTAAGCCTTTGAAGGCCATGGGGCAGAAGCTGTCAACGCCCGGCGCCAGGCGCGCAGCCAGCATCTCGGCCTCGCATGGCCCGGGAATTGTGTGTTGTTTTTTGGAGAGTCGCTCCAGGCAAGTAGAGGATACCGAATGTCGAGGCACACCCTGGCAGAGACTCTGGCATGCATGAAGCTACCAGGACCAATCAATATCGTGTTCCTTTTAGGCTCCACCACACTTGGATTCTACGGATAACGACCAAATCCCAAACAACGGCTATCGAGTGGAGGAGACCTGTAGGTTTCGTATGATTGAAACTTCCGCCCACCGGCTTCGCCGGTTCTACTGGCAAAAACATGTGTGTTTGTTTGATTGTCTAATTTGGGGGGGGCGTTTGTTGTTAGGGGGAAGGGGTCAATACATCCCTTCGCGTGTCAACAATGCCGCTCAAGTGAACAGTGAGCAGAGCTGACGGAGCATAAAGCAATCTGACATTGCGTTCAAGCTGGGCATGTTCAAATAAAACATAGTCAGACATAGCCAAATAGCTTGGTGTGGACGCTATCAACGCCCAAAGACTTACCCGCCAGTGACTATTTGAACCGGTTCGAGCCTCCACCATCCACCCATTTTGCGCTTCGGTGCTGTAAGCGCCGGCGACGTGCAAACTGCCAACTGCCGACTGCGTCCTTTTTCCGAAGCTTTGGCTGAGCTCTGCCATGGTGTTCTGCTCTAGCTGGGCGAGCAGCGGCGCCGCTTGGGGCGGGAAGCTGCAGCCAAGCGCAGCCTTCAAGAGAGAGAGAGAGAGAGAGAGAGCGAGAGAGGCAGAGAGAGAAATAAACGAAACACATACAAGTTTCAAGAACGAGAAACAAACACAACAGCATAGTGACATTGAAAAAAGTCAGGACCGCAGGACCAGACAAGATGCCAAGTGCCAATTAAACACAATATGGTTAAGAAGAGGATGCGACATATCATCATAGAGCAGCAAATTGACGTTCCCACCAGCAGAGCTCAAATCTGAGAGAGCCAAACGAGTCCTATCACGTCGTCAAGTTTGCTCAAGAAAAGCAATTGTGACTACCTGAAACGGAACTACACCACTCACACATGCATTGGTGATCGATCAGGCATCCTGTTGGCAATACACATGCTGCGAAGGATTGTGTCAGCTTGCCGACCGCAATTGGCGTTATTCATTCCTTCTAGGTTATCCCATCAAACTCATGAACACAACAAGCCTGATTGGCCACGAGTCATCCTGCTGCGTACTGTGACTGTAGAACTCATCGCAAAGCCACGAATCCTCAAACTTTCCGCGCGATTGTTTTGCGGGCAAGGCTTCTATCATGTGCATGGATTGCAGCTGGTGCAGTGCAGTAGACAGGATTTGCATGGATTTGCTTCTACACAGAATCTGGAAGCTTCGCATGGATACCACATATGTATATATATATATATATATATATATGTAAATAAAAAAGAATATATAATGCATATGTATATATATATATATATTAATATAAACAATAATATATATATATATATATATGTATGTGCACACGTATACAAACGAAACATCCAATCAAACAAAGGATCGCTTACTTTGAGACCTCACATGATACCAGTCAACAAAGCCCTTGTCCACTGAACGAAGGTGGCATGTGCGCTTTACCACCTCAGCTGCCCGCAGGCAGCTCAATGTTGTCTGTTGGCTTGGGGCTCAGTGCTTGGCGGTGAGGGCTCGTGGCACGCCAATTGGCTTCTGCAACGCCCAGTTTGAGCTTCCCACATTGATAGAACCACGAAGATACAGTGTGAGCCTTGCCTGAATTGGCTGCAAACCAGCAAGCGGGGAGGTGTTCAAAAGATTCTTGGTGCGGCTGCATCCAGCCATGTGCTGCTCTAAGGCTGCATGTTCCATGCCAATGACACTTGCAGAATTATGTGCTCAAACTTCGAGAAGTGGGTCGGGCTTCTCCACAGATCTTGGCCTGTCACCCAGGAGTTTGCTGAACTTGACAATGAATCAAATTGCCCATTGTCCGAGTAGAATAAGCATTGCTTTACGCTCAAAAGCCCAAAGCCGGAACATACTGTCAATCATCATCTGAACAGAGAAACACTTTCCATTTTTGGACCCAGCACTGAGGTCGCGTCTCCCTTCTTAATAGCAGCCATGCAAGCCATTCACCCCACCCAGCGCCTGGTACGCGACAGCGCTCCTGAAGAACAGTCTTAGAAACTGAAGCAGCGCGTTATGTCAAAAGAAGGATATTGCGGTTTCCGACTCACAAGTAGCTGCAAGTGGCCAGCAGCTCAGGGCTGATGTCCTCCGTGGGCCTTGTGGTTTCAAGCAAATCGTTGGCGAAACAGTCAAAGCGCCAAGACAACAATTTAGACTGTCAGCTAACATTTCATGGGGCACATGTATCATTCTTGCGGCAGGAAATCATGATGCGCCCAATCAAAAGCTTGAAGCATGCAATTTCCTCACAAGAAACTCACTTGCCTCATTATAGCATAGATGTTGTCCGCATCTTCTCGTCTCGAGAGTAGTGCCCTTCCATTTTGAAGGATCAACAACAAGCAATGCCTGTTGCACCCGCATTGACATGATGCCTGGCAATGAAGTGTGAATTACTGACAACCACACGGCAATGGGGCTCAAGACGACGGACGGTGTAACACTTGAAGGTTCGGACCAGTCTCTACAATGCCGGCGACCAGCAATGGTATCCAAACCACCGTGCATCCTGCCCGCGAAATAAACAAAACCGAACATTGAACTGGTTGCTGGCTCGGCCGAAGACGGTCATCCTTAAACAGAAGGGGAGACACGGCCCAGTCAGCCCCGCCTGGCGGATGCATCTCTCAGCAAGCTGAGCACTTGCAGCCACGCCAATGAATTGGCCGCAGCTGCGATGGCCGAGGTCAGCGTGATGACATTGGCTTCAAGCTCCATTGCTGCGACCTGACACTCTGATCAGCCCTGAGGATTTGATCTAGATGAGATCATACGCAGCTAAGAGCAACACAGCAGGAGCTTAATTGCCTTCACGACTTGGGTTGCTCGTTGGCAAGTCCCTACAGACAAGCCACCGCTTCCATCTTTCTTTCTCCGAGCAAGCGTTAAACCTATACCAACCGCAGTAGCGATACCTTGTCGAAAGAGGCGTAAGCGGTAAGTCAGGCAAATTCGGCAAGGGGTCTGGGTCAGACTGTCCACTCACTAGCACAAAGTCATCCGCTAGCAGCTATCTGCCACTATACATTCTGATTCATGAGTATACAACAAGCCAGCCAGAGTGTTTCTTTCCTTGCAAGGCTTCCTAGCCAAGCAACAAACACAAGTGATAATCGTGCCACAACATGATACGTGTTGTTTTGAAGGTGACGCTATCAATATATGTAATGCAAGTTCCTCTGCAGGCTGAAAGCTGTCTACACAGGTGCTCTTCAATGTGAGGACGGAAGTTCCTGCTGTGTAGTGGAACTGCTGTGCTTGTGTGTTGAACCGTAATTTCAGGGTAACGGTCAGGCAAGAAATATGGTGGCGGTAGCATGTGTAGCAAGCATCCCGTAGACATTATTTTGCCGTGCACTGATATCTCAGAAGCATGATGAATATCATCCTGCAAGCCTCTCAAATCACAGAGGGAAATAGAGGAACAGTTGTCCAGAATCATCACCCCTTATCAAGGCGTGAAATCATCAATGATCAAAGGCATGCTCCCACATCGAGCATGTGTTATCTGGCAAGACTGATCAATCAACACGGCCACCAAGTGAAACTGCCGATATGGGATGATGCAGAAACATGCGCAACACCAAGCAACACACAAGAGCGAGCCACTTACTTTACGAAGCGGCAAGAGACGACCAGGAGTTTGCGAGGCAAGGTTGCCAAAATCTAGATATTCCCCCCGGTACAAACGACAAGCACTCACAAAACAAAACAGTTGCCCGAGGCGAGAGTAACAAAAACTAAGGTCTCAATCCTGCATGACACGTCCATGTGACCAATTGGAACGCAAGCGCGAGTGGAAAACGCTCAATAGTAAGGCAATTGAACGCATGCCTCAAGCACATGCGGTGGAAATTACGTGACAAACAGAATGTAGTAGAATGCAATGATCATACCGGACCCAACCAAAGCACTGCAAGCTCGCAGTTTAACCATAAGAGGAGCCAATACTGCCCCTTGTATATATTGATATCACGATCATAAAGCAAGTCAATGGCAAGCCTTTCGATCACCAAACCCCAGCTATTGCTGTGACCTTTTGTGGTCGAACTCCGTGCCAGGTCAAATTCTGCCAGACCTCTGGAGCCCCGGCCTCGTCAAGGCAGCAAATTGCAAGCCTCCAGCAGGATGCCTTCTCCGATGCACTGCAGGCTGCCTAAGTGAGGACGCATGTGGCTCCTCAGTGTTGCTGGTGTCAAATTAGTTGCCATCCTTCAGAAGAAGAAGCGTGTCGACCTCTTGTGCCTTGTTCCATCCGGGAGCCATTTTGTTGTTCCGCACGGATAAAAAGACATTTGTGTGTGGCTGACATTGACGTCACTGAAGCACATTGAACTTGTTGCGGAAGGATCTTGTGGAGATCCTGAGAGCCCAATTGTGAGTGTCGTGCTTTTGCCTGTTGCGATGCACAATTTGTCTTCAAGCAGCCCAGTGAGGACCACGACATGTATCATAGTACGTGTGTCTGTTTGAGCCTTGCCTCAAGCATCAAGCGGAAGGTCAACGCTTTGCTTTTGTGATGAAGCTGTTCTTGTATCTTGAAGACTTCCGGAACAGGTTATTTGGAAGGGTTGAAATCATTTGAACTATGACAAAAGCTGTCCATGATGGCCGGCAAAAGAAAGCACAGCGAAGGCTTTGAAGTTCCTGGAAGACTCAGATGAACAAAAACGTGTCTCTTGATCACCGGCAGGTTCTATGCATACAGAGTAGCGACCTGCAAAAGACCTCTGGCTGAATGCAAAAGCACGGCTTGCTCCTGCCTGCCCAGCGGCATTAAAGGTGATGATGTCTGGCCGTAGGGATGTGGCATGAACAATCCAATGTGCCTGCTGCCATCTTCCGTACCTGAGAACTCGTGTGCCGTTCAGACGGCACCATCCACAACAAGCGGCTAAGTTCGCCACTAGCGACTTGCTCCTACATGTCCGAACAATGCCAACAGACTTTGCCAATGGCTGCATGATCCATAAGTGAGCAAGTATACACACTTGTTCACCTGTAATTAGCCAAATTCAAATGCAAGCTGAGGATAATTAGTATAATTCAGCAACATGTTGTTCGAAGCAACATCTATAAACAAAACTACTAAGGTTTAAGTGGGCTTACTGCCGATTTTATGGGCGCACCCCTCCCATCATCCCAGTTGTAGCCATGGCTTGAACCTACTTTCGCATCCGATGCTGTAATCCACTAACCAACCCAACCAACCCAACCCCAACCCAAGCAAACAGCCAACCGGCCAACCAGCTTGCACCTCTACGGTCTGACTTGCGTCCGGGCGGCTGCTCGCAGGAACTGACAAGGGCGTTGGCTGTGACGATGCTGGGCTGCAGTCCGCCGCTGGTCTCTGCGAATATTGCCCAGGCCGCCTGCCAACGTCCAAATGCTTTATAGTCACCATATGGTGGCGGTGTACCACAATGTTTGGCGGTTGATAGGTTTAGCCTCAGGCTGTGAAAGCAAAAGCCTTTAAAGGAACATCCCGGTCCGAGAAGTGCAAAGACATCTTTCTTCCCCGAGCCCCGAGCCTGAAGGAAAAGCTGCATCTCAAAGTGAATGATGAGGGACGAAACTGCAACACTGAACTCGGAGATCAAACTCGTTTGGATTTTCTGAGTATAAGTGTAAGGCCCTAGCCCTTCACATAAGCTTCAAACAAGGCAACGGGACACACTTTGGATATATGCCCTGTTACCTGGACACGGGCGTCCTGTAATTGGCGCTCTGGCCAGTACAGCTCAAACATAGTGCATGTTGGACATGAATGGCCTTCCGCCATGGCAGTGGTCACGAGGCAGAACCATGCACCAATAAAAACATTGATAATAGGGCGCATTGAAAAAATGGCTCATGACATGCGTGATCATTGTACCACTTCTCCACCAACGATGCCAAGGTCAAATCGCTGATTGGGGCAACAAACGTCTTACTGTCCTCTGGAGCCTCTGGTGGTGCCACAGGCCAATCTGACGTGCAAAATCGAGCACTCCCCACAGTTGGTTTGGTTTCTGCGATTTTTCTTTGATTCTTCAAAAGCGGTCCCTAACCCCTGCCATCTGAGCTTGTGTTTTTGCGGAGATTACCCTTTTTGCGATCACGTCAGTTGAACATCAGACGGAGCACCGAAACCAACGAGCTTATAGAGGCTCCTCCATTGGCAGATAAACCCACAACCCGCGCCTGCCATTGAGCGGCTTTCTGACACACGCTCACTGCAGCATTGAAGGTGATCCTCAGACAGCAGTCCAAAGCCTAGACATCAAACGTCGTGGTTTCCAAGCGGCTTCAAGTGGCGGCCATGTCGTCAACCGATCATGGATGGTCATTCGGGTTCTTCTGTTCATGCTCAACACGGCGAGCAACTGTCCATCGACAGCGGTATCCCTCAGGACCACATTAGATTGGTCTTGTGCGAGTGCAAGCGCAGCTGAAGAAAAAAAAGGTGGGCTCACTGCACGATTGAGGAAAACAATGGCGATAACACGGCAATGCCAGGACGAGGACTAAACGCCCACCTCTCGCAATGCCTAAAAATCACGCTGCCACGGACTGTAATACATTCTGACCCAAACCCTAGTGAATCAGAACAAACCAGCCAATGTAGCGTGAGCTCCACATTCCTACCAAGTCATGTCGTGGTTTTAGTCTCTTGTTTGTGTGGCTTACACAGGTATGTCATCCCAAATGCTTGCGTTGAGTTTAGTTCCCTTCCAATACCATTTTCCAAAACGGATGTCGCTCGATCTGAAACACAGCGAAATCTTGAGGTCAAAGGCTCACATCCATTTCCAAGAGCTCCGCCCGCATGGAGCTCAACATCTTCATCGCCAGCTCCCAGTGGCCGAGGGAGCTGACTGCGGCATTGATGGCGACGATGCTGGAGAGCTTCTGCGTGCGCATCTCCTGCAAATAAAACGCCTGCTGGCCCATGGCCAATTTGGGTCAGAAATTAAATGGGTTCTATGGGTAGGGTTCGGTGGTGCAAGCTGGCAGGAACCAGTTTAGAACCAGTTTAAGGTCCCCTGACTGAGGCGTTTCTGTCCAGGGAGCCCCAAAGACAGAATTCAAGTTCAACAGCAGTGAGCTCGTCTCACAAGTCTCCTGCAAAAGACACAAGGACCGCTGCCACTGCGCTGCCCTCACGAAGCAGCTGATGCATGCGCTGAAGCTGATCCTAGGCTGCTGTCTGTGCGCGACAAGCGGTACGTCTTCTGATGTCTTCTGGCTTGCGCTTTTGTAGCACAAACAAATGCTGATTGATTCGCTTTTGCTTCCCAACACAAACCTGCCAAAGACAGGTACTCAACAGGAACGTCTTTCGTTCTAGTGCGCACCCTTGGCCGACACCAAGCCATCTCTGTGCGTAAAAGCGGCCCATTGTCCCAGTTGGCATCTCGTGTAACAACCGATGGCTTAAACTCAAGAGAAAACGCAAACCAACTGTGCCCTGTTTGATATATCATATTATCTCATTTCAACCCAACCCCAACCCACGTGGAGCTAAATCAGTGAATCATGGATCTCCTTGACATGCACAATCTGTGGGAACTCCCATTGTGTGCATCGTCAACTGTCTGATGGCAACTAGCACAGTGTTAGAACTCAACAAAGCTTGAGGCTACACGTCGTATGGCAAAGGCACTCAGTAGCCTGCACTTGCATCTCCATCATCTCAGCCAGCAAATGTGTTGCTGTCGTCCACTGGCCCACGCGTGCGCAGGCGCTGATGGCTGCGTTGAAAGAAATTACATCCACCATTCGGCTGGCCACAAGGCGGCGAAGAAGCCTTGCGTAAAGAGCTGCCATGGTTTACTCCAACCAAGAAAAAAATGAATCCGACTCAAAGCCCAAAGAAAAAACAAAAGCTGGCATCACATACTTTGGCTTTCCAAGCAACAGCAAAGCAGTTTGCCACTTTGCTGCTTTCTCGCACGCGCTCATGGCCGCATTGTAAATGATCTGATTAAAACGCACTCCACCCGCCATGTCCTCCAATAGTTGTAGCACTCGCCGCCACTGGCCAGCCTTATCAAAGACGCTCAGCACAGCTGTGCAGGATGCGGCATCTGCTTGTTGTCCTAGCTCCTTCAAAAGCGCAAGAGCCAGCTGCCACTTCTCCCTCTCGCGGAACGTGCAAATGGTGCTGTTGTAGGTGATAGTATCCTGGGCTGGAGTGAAACACCTGGTATAACACTGCGAAGATAGCCTCGACCAGCCGCAGCATCTCAAAGATGCACCCTAGCACAAATTGATTTGGCTAGCTCCAATAACATGAGTTGGGAACAAGGAGAGCATAGAGCGATTGGCACCTTCTGCCAATGCAACTCACTCAACTCAGGGGCAAGATGCTGCACTAACACTAGTGAATGAAACCGTACTGACAGAACTTTGCGAAATGGTCAGAATTGTGTCAGCCCTCTTCAAATACCTGCTTGTTAAACGCATTCATACTACCCACTTAACTTCAACATCTTCAGGGTGCAGTGTTGCGAGTTCCGCATAACTTGCGCCAACATCTCCCGGAAGTTGCGCCACAGTCTAGCACCCTACGCTCACCAGCCATTTGAACTTGTTGAACATGTGACAAATCAAGGTTGTGAGGATGCCAAAGAAGGCAACCACGACCATCCCCCACGCCCCCAAATCAGGCTGGAAAGGCAGCTCCTCATCTACTCCCACCATGTTGAAGTGGCGCTCTCACAATCATGCAGTTTCACACATGTCCATGTCTTAGAATGGAGACCCTGCCCTTCCAAAAAAATGGATTTCCTCTTGTCCCCCTTCAAACATCTTCCCCAAACACGGTTTTCCAAAAACAGGATACACTTCGTCTTTTAGTCCCCCACATCCAAAAACCCAAATCGGATTTCCCTCCCAAAAAGAAAGACGCGGCCGGGTGAAACGCTCCGAGTCTCGGGCTGCGCCAGGCGCAGGAGGGCCAAGGCCTGCTGCCACTCGCCCACGCCCTCGCAGGCAGAGATGGCCGCGTTGAAGCTGACGGTGCTGGCGAGCTGAAGCCTCATGGAAACTCGATCCAAACCGACGTGGAACTTCGGAACCCCCGACAAATATGGGGAACATCCGTGTTTGGAGTCGTTGGATTGCATATCTCCCCCTTCCATACAATAGTTAGGCGGGGTGGTTCCAGAGATCTAGATCAGCATCCCAGGAAGGGGGCCCCCTCCCGTTTCAGCGCATGTCTTGTGTAGCCACGTTGCCTTGGATACGTCCATGGCGTGCCTATCCCAATCTACCGCGCACGATATCCTGAAGGCACAACTGTCAAGCTAGTGGCTTAACCCAGAACCGCGCTTCCGCCCCTCCCCCGCTTCAGCCCTGATGTCGCACCACACCGCGACGTGTCGAAACAGGACCCCCAAAATAGTGGTTGCCCCTTTCTCCCTTGAAACCCATCTTTACCAGGTACCGGGTAGCCTCCAAAAATGACGCCTAGTTGGGAGCTTCTAAAAAAGGTGGTTAAAACCAAAGGAAAAGGAAACCGGCCATTTCCGCAGAGCCCTTTAAAAGACGCAGTGCATCCCCGGAGCTTGGAGAAGATGTCCAGCGCCCTTGGCCAGGCCCCGACTTTCTGGCAGGCGCTGATGGCTGCGTTGCACACCACGACGTCGCCTTGCGATTTGGACCCCCCCAAATGAGTACAATCAAAACCCGGGTAGATAAAGGTTAGCAAGGGACAAGCCCAACCGTAAATAGCTGCGGCCGCCTTCTTAATTCTTTACATAGTTCCGGGTAGACCATTTTAATACCGGGTTTTGATTTTGGCTCAAATGGGGCTGTCCCTCAGCTTGCCTCTAAATGCCGACCAAGAAGAGGACCAAAATTTGAGAGACGCCAATGTACAAAGTTCAATGGCTTGAATTTCCTTCAGTTGATCGCCAAAGCGTTTTCCCTTCGCCTTGCAATCGACGCAGTCCAAGCCCGGCCAGCAGCAGCAGGGCTTCTGGCCAATCCTCGGATCCAAATGGACCGGTGGACCAAATCCATTTCGCACCAAGTGGAATGGAAGTTACCAACTGGTGCAATACTTTTTCCATCGGCATTGATACAACATCTGGGCGTTCTTTGTTTCCCGCAAAGACAGTGACAAAGGGTGCTGGGCTCAAGAGAAGTGGACCCTGGTATGATTTCAACAGACAAGCATGAGACGCCGATGGGGCAGTCGACGTGTACGGCTTCCGAATGCCTCACTTGGGCTCTTTAGGCTAGAGCTGAGAATGGTCGGATATCCCACCATGACAAGTCGGCATTTGTCGCTCGGAAATGGCCAAGCCATGCACACCGCCATTTCAAGCTGTCATGGTACGCATCTCGCACTCTCATAATATTTTGCCGGGCTTTATGGGCCCCTCGAGCTTCTGTCCTTTGCTACTGCTCAGCCGGTGACAAGCGAGCGCTTCACGACACAGTGTGGCTGCATCCACCAACCGCGAGCAAGAAGTGTCTCTCGACGTGCAGTGCTCTTGTCACTGCAACGCTGCGTGAGAGAAGTCGGCAAGAGTTTGAATGCGTAGCAAGCCACCATTGTGCAGCCGATGCTTCCTCCCCCCAATGTCCATTAATTAAATGGCCGAGGTAGCAAAGTACATCGACGTGCCAAACTGAAGATGCAAGCTGAGTCAGACATGACAAGAGCAATAGCACAATTCACAAAGATGCATCACTCAAGGAGCGGTCAAGCACCAATTCTTGAACACTCAGTGTACTCTCTTTTGGCTGCTTTGCCAAACCGTTTCATCAAAACCGGATTGCACTTGCAACCATTGGAACTGAGTCCAACGGTGAGTCCAACGGCCTCGCTGCGAATATCACAAGGTCTCGTGCTTGAAAAGATGCACCAACATCTGGAGTGTCAAGAATGCAACCGAAATTGCCAACCTTGGCACTACTGGGGTTTTGTGGGGTATCTTCCGTCGTGTCAAGCTAGGGGTGGGGTTCCTGTTGGCTAACCCCGAAAAGGGGTTAAGTACCAACTCAAAAAACAACACCCGAGATTCCCTGGCAACCATTAAACAATGCTTGCGCTAATATACCATATATACCATCACACAGATCCTCAAAATTGCCAGTGCTAAATGATGACTGCAGTCGGGTGGAATCAGTTGACAGCGTCCGAGCGCGAACGCCAAACAGCAAGACACTTGCCGGCACTGCCATGCGAAGTCAGACTAGCCAATGCAACGAATAATCAATAACAAACCAAGGCCCCTGTGTGAGGGCTAGGACAAAGTACTGCGAGTGTCCTCCTTTCACCTGCCCCAGGCGAGGGCAATACATGCTCAAACAGTTGAACAAATATCTAATCACCTGGGAAGATAAATTCCCTTTCAAACCTCTGCTGCATGCTACTAGTCGTTCAACCCAGTAAGCCCTAGTGCTTGAATCGCGCAACAGCCATGCGTGCCTATCAACGATGTGCTGCAAAGGAGCAGAAGCCTTCTCGCAGGCACTCACACAGGAGCTGCAGGTGATAATGTTGCTCTGGCCAGCCTGTCCTTGGACAATGCGCCAGCCATTACTCACTCTCTTTCTGGAGGGCAGGGTGCTGATAGCAAACTATAAATTCTGGGGGGTGAAATAAACTCGCCCATGCACAACAATATGTGCTGCTCACAACTGGCTTCCTGAGCGGACATTTCAAGCAACTTACACGTGCAACAAACACTACTCTAGAAGCTCGAAACAAACTCTGATCCTACTCCAGTGCACAAACCCAACCCTCAACGTTGCAGAATACCATCTCGACGCCATGCCAGTTCGGCAAAACAACCCTTCAAGTGCCTCAAGTGTCCTAGAGAGCCTCATTCCGTCTTTCTCAGCGTCACCCCCAAGACCTTGAACCCACAAAGAGTGGGAATGATGGGCCCGAAACCTTGTGATACATCCGAGGGGCGCAGCAAGCACTGTGCGCGCGGCCAGCTGCCAGAGCAGGCGTTGATGGCAGCACCGAAGGTGATCGCATTCCAAGAGGTTGCGGCCTGTGACGAGAGCGATTCTGATTGACTGATGTGAAAGCGGTGGCTAACGATCCAAGGACGTGCTGTTCATGTTGTGACTGTACTGCAAGGGTTTTGTTGGATGGCGACATGGTGTTTGATCACGCTAGACTAGAAGCCTTCGCGGAAAAGTATACTCGCTTCAAAGGCACATGCTACCAACCCCCCACGCAAACACAAAACGATGGGTGAGGAAAGCAACTAGTTCAAGAAAAAGCCGCCAAAGGAAACCGACTGTAGTCATAGCAGCCGATCGGGTGCAATGGCCGGTTTTGGACCTCAGCTCTCCAGCCATCCCCTAAAAATGATGCAGCTGCAAAACACAAGAGAACAATATAGCGAGAAGACCGAAGCAACCGGAGAACATCCTATGCTTGTCGGGGCATTTCTATTCAGGTATCCTTCAGATTTCGGCCACTTGCCAAAACACTGATGTGACATGGGACATGCACCCCGTCAATGACAGGCCGTTGCAAAATGATTCCATCCTGTTGAAGATACTCCAAAACTAGCCCATTTCACGGTTCCTTGGTGGTTCTTTTGCAATTTTCTTGCATTTTCTGTCAACGGAGGACTTTCCCTAAGCCAAACAAATCTAAACACTTTTAAGTCAATCTGACAAGTCTCTCAGGCAGTCTCGATTCAGGATGTGAAGCGCCCCCTGGGCCCCTTCGTCGCACCTCCCCGCCTCTGACGGTTTCCGTTCATTTCAAGGGGCCCCGCAAGAGAGTCAAAACCATTGTTGTTTTAGCTGAAGCCTTATCATCCCCAGTGAAACAAGCCGGTCACTTCACAACGGTGCAGCAACTCCATACTTACTGCTACCAATTTGTGTTGCAAGTGGAACTATCTACGTTTTGCATCTAATTCCATTGTCGCTTGAACTCCACTTCATGCCACTCAGCAAGCATACATATCAATCGCCTA